GATGTCTATCAATGGATGAATTAATAAATTAAATGTGTATATTTACATAATGGAATATTATTCTGTCAATAATAAGGATGTAATCCTGGCATTTGCAGCGAGTTGGGTGGAACTCGATGTCATTAAGTTCACTGAAAGAAACCAGACACAGAAATATAAATACTGCCGGTTGTATTTCATATGTAGAAGCTAGAAGGCACATAGGTTTGAACTTTGAATAGTGGTTATTAGAGGCTAGAAAGAGTGGAGGAAGGGGATACAAAGAGATTGGACAACAAGTCCCAAAGCACAGTCAGAAACACCTTTCTTTGTGTAGATATCAGCTTTCTCATTCTATTGAGACTTTAGCTGGGGAGATGCATTTCACTTTCTGGGATGCTGCTGTACTCAGATTAATATGCTGCAAAGCAGGAAATGAAGACCCAGACCTTTATTTATTTATTCATCCATTTGTTTTAACTGATACATAGCAATCATACATGTTTATGTAATGCTTTGATACATGTATATATTTTATAAAGTTCGTTAATGCAATCCTATCTCCTCAAATATTTATTATGTAAGATTAAAGCATTTGAAATCCTTTCTTTTAGCTATTCAAGAGAAATATACTGTGCATTATCACTTCTATAGTCATGTTAAAGTGCAATAGAACATTAGACCTACTTATTCCTGTCTAACCATAGCTTCATGCTAATTAATTAACTACAGGCTCATCCCTCGAGAACGATGTGCTTTTGGTAAGGGTTGGGTGATGACACTCTTCAGCCAGAAGCCCCAGAGACAAGTTTCAGTAAACATGTCCATTTATTAACAGTCAAGCATAAGCTTATAAAGGGTATAAAAAGGGGGCATAGCTAATGCAGGGGAACACTAATTCTATAGGAGAGCTAATATTGGTGCCGCTGTGCTTCTCCAATTAGCTTGAAGGTCACATAGGCTATGGTAGCTTTCCTGATGGGCTCGGGCCACACCTGGGAGCAGTTTACCTGATGGGCAGGGGTGTGGGGAAGCCTTCCTGGGGCTCGTGCCACCTGCCAGCAGCCAGGCTGCAGGGTCCCTCCCAGGAAGCATGGCACACCATGACCTCTCAACCTCCTGCATAGGCAAGGCAGGCAGTCTCACAGGATCACCCACAATCAACTTTTCCTCTTCCCTCCTAGCCGCTAGGAACCACATTTCTCTCTCAAATTCTATGAGATCATCTTATGTTTTAAACCCCAAATATGAGTGAGATCATGAGGCAATTATCTTTCAGTGCTTGATTTATTTGCTTTAACCATAATGACCTCCAGTTGCATATATGTTGCTATAAATGACAAAAGTTCATCCTTTTTATGGCTGAGGAGTGGTCCTTTGTGTAAGTGGCCAAATTTTCTCCAAGAAATGGAAACAACTAAGTATCCATCAACTGAAGAACTAAACTTTTGATGAGTGAATCTTATTATAGGCTGAACTATGATTAGAACCACATTTTATATGAATTATTATCTATCCTATTTTCTCTTACCATGCTACACTCCACATTCCATGCTTGTGCCCAGTTAGCATATTTATTTTATTGCCTATTGTGTGTCAGTCTTAAAGCTCCATATGGATGAAATCACAACAAGGTCAAGGCTGAACTTTCAAGGAATTAGGATTGAAGCTTCCCTACATCATTACCATTGTTCAGGTTTCTACATTAGATAAGTCTTTTCTTACTTCAAATAATACCAATATTGAAAACAAAACTTTCTGCTTTCCACTAGAGTAAGTATAGCTGTAAGAATTGGACATTTTGATGTAAAGAGTGACAGGCATGGTGAGACAATCATGCCCACAGGTAAGAGCAAAGTGTCCTTAAATTACAATTGGACATCTTGTAAATAGCCTTTCCAGGGGGAACTCATCCAGATCAATTGTCTCATGTAGTTTATGACACTTCCCCGTAAGTTCACTATTATGATGCTACTAATCACAGTGACACTCAACAAGTCTAGCCAACTTGTTTCCAAATAACCCCGTGTCACAGAGCTGAAGAAGGATATGATCTCTCCTGACTCTGACTTCACGGTTCTTAGTATGTCTTTCATTTGCCTCACCAGATCCATTCTGCATTCTTTTCCACTTTGCCCTGTGCCACCACAAGTGTGACTTGGATGAAACAGGGATTATGTTAATGGATTCTCTTGCTTTATGACTTCTAGTTAGTTTTGGTCAATGTAAAGTCCCTTACGTTTATTGGGGGAAGAAGGAGAATAAAGTCAGAATATCTATTATTCTCTCTTCACTTCCAGGAGCTTTATGACCATGTTTCATCCCTTTCCTATATCATTACTTCTTTTCTGGAAATTCCTTCCACACAGCTCTCTCAATCTCCAGTCTCCAGTAACTCTCCTTCTCACTTATCCATGTAGGGTGAGTAACGATTGCTCTCCTGTTTCCAACCTCAAGTATGCCACTGTTTCTTTTTGTTTCCTTATACTTTTTCATTCCTTTTTAATTTTTCATTTATTAAACTATCTTCAAATTGTCCTCACTGAGTGTATAATCTGTTACCCAGGCTCTAAAACAAGACCTTTTTTCCCCATCATTTGCTCTCCAACACTGTTTCAGCCCAGTCATCATACAGACTTCTTGCTGTCCTCTACTTACTAGTTAATTTGCCTCTATCCTTCAACTATAGACTCATGACTGAAAAATTTTCACCAAATAGTTTGATCAACACAAGACTAAAGGAGAATATTAATTTAGATATTGAATTTCCTTGAACTTAGCCAAAGTTACTAGTAGATTTGAACAGCCTGTTTATACCCTTGGCTCCATTATATTGGCTATGAATTGGAAATCTCTGGGATGATTTTTATACTCCTGTTAAATCAAATGCCTCCCATCCTATTCAGAAGGTGTGCCACTTGGTACCCCAGCAGAATGTGTCAGCCTTCCCTTCTATGCATTTCCTCGTTTTTGTTAAATCTGTAGCTCCAGTGCTCCAGAATGCAGTCCATTGGAACTCGTACTGTATTTAAATTCTGCTGTCATAGAAAACTTTCAATTCTTTTGTCATTTTTAGAGTTGATAAAGATAATGTCAGTATCCTTGATATAAGTCATCATCATGAGTTTGTCAGAAAAAGAGGCCCGAGAATATACAAGGGGCAAATAAGCACATGAAAATAATGTCCAACGTCATTGGCCATTAAGGTAATTCAAATATAGACCACTATTAGATGCCCTTTTATACCTATTGGAAAGGCTAAAATTACAACATGACAAAACCAAATGCTGGTGATGATACTAAGAAGTCAAATCATTAAAGAATTGTTGGTGAGAATGAAAAATCATACAGTTATGCTAGGAGGTTTAGAATTTTCTTTTAAAATTAAGTATTGCAAGAACTGTACTAATCACATATTACAAGCTGGGTAACCATTCCAGAGAGATTTAGTCATATGTTCACATTAAATTCTGTGTGTGAAATGATATTAGCAGTTTTATTTGTAACAGCTCAAAACAGCCCAGATGTCCTTCAACAGGTGGAATGGGGAAGTAAGCTTTCACACATCTACACCATAGAATACTACACTTAGGAATAAAAAGGAATGAACTAGTGATGCAAGCAACAATCTGAGTGAATTCTGAGAGATTTGTGAATTGAAAAGAAGCCATTTCCAAAAGGTCACATATTTAAACAAGTCCAGTTACATATAGTGTTCCCCCAAATATCAAAAATATAGACATGAGAATATTGGTTGTGGGAAATTTAAGGGAAACATTGAGATCCTTGTGTTGATGGACCGATTCTGGATATTTACTACAATGGTTTCACATGAATCTATAAATGCGTTACAAAACATACACAGACACAAAACAGCATATGTCAAATTAGATTAAGTCAGTGTCAATTTGCTTGCTTTGATGTTGTACTACACTCTTAGAAGATGTTACCATTGCAGGAACCTGAATAAAGGATACATGAAGATCAATTTTGAACAAACTTGCAGTTATATCAAAATTAAAATTTCAATTTAAAATTAGTCATGTTTCTACATACTAAAAATGAACATGTGGAAACAAAATTAAACACATGATACTATTTAGCATTACTTCAAATAAAATGAAATATTAATATATACATAAAATATACACTAGGAGATGGGGTCCAACGTTAGAATCAAACAACAAATTGAAATGAGGTAATTCTTTAGGAATATAAAAATAATGAATAAATTCGCAAACTGACATAACAAAATAATAGTGCATAATTTAAATGATCTCTAAAATTGGTAAAACACTATCTTCAAAATTAATAGAAAATGCAAATATCTTTCTAAAATTTACCAAGTCAAAGGTAATTCTGACATAACAATTTATAAGGAGGTAATAGATTAGACATACAGGGATAGAAGTGGGTTGTAATAACAGGGCTAATTGAAACCTTAAATAACACATACATATATTAAAACCAAATACCCACAAATAAGAATATATATATTTTATTAACACTAATGAAAAGAAAAGTGTATGCATCAACTGCATTAGAATGACTGCCTATGAAGAGAATTGGGATGAAATATTAGAGTGGAAATAAAAGGGAATGAATGAGTAAATAAACAGTGGATTGTTCTGAACAATTAATTCAAGGACTACGATTAACTGAACCCTTTACACTTAATGACAAAACCACTCCACCATATCCATCCTCTCTCAAAGAAGCAATATTTTTCCAGGAAAGAATACTTACTCACTGACCTTATTTAGAAATTTTAAAGTATGGAGAAAATATTTAAATGTCTGATTTTTAGTGTTTTATTTTTGTAGTAAGAATCTCTGTAGACAATGTTACCTTATATTTTTTTAACTTTTATTTAATGAATATAAATTTCCAAAGTACAGATTATGGATTACAATGGCTTCCCCCCCCCCCATAACTTCTCTCCCACCCACAACCATCATCCATTCACATCAAGATTCATTTTCAATTATCTTTATATACAGAAGATCGATTTAGTATATATTAAGTAAAGATTTTAACAGTTTTCACCCACACAGAAACACAAAGTGTAAAATACTGTTTCAGTACTAGTTATAGCATTACTTCACATTGGACAACACATTAAGGACAGATCCCACATGAGGAGTAAGTTCACAGTGATTCCTGTTGTTGACTTAACAATTTGACACTCTTGTTTATGGCATCAGTAATCACCCTAGGCTCTTGTCATGAGTTGCCAAGGCTATGGAGGACTTTTGAGTTCGCCGACTCTGATCTTACTTAGACAAGGTCGTGGTCAAAGTGGAAGTTCTCTCTCCTCCCTTCAGAGAAAGGTACCTCCTTCTTTGATGACCTGTTCTTTCCACTGGGATCTCACTTGCGGAGATCTTTCATATAGGTCTTTTTTTTTTTTTTTTCCAGAGTGTCTTGGCTTTCCATGCCTAAAATACTCTCATGGGCTCTGCAGCCAGATCTGAATGCCTTAAGGGCTGATTCTGAGGCCAGAGTGCTATTTAGGACATCTGCCATTCTATGAGTCTGCTGTGTATCCTGCTTCCCATGTTGGATCGTTCTCTCCCTTTTTTATTCTATCCGTTAGTATTATTTTCAGACACTAGTCTTGTTTATGTGATCCCTTTGACTCTTAGTCCTATCATTATGATCATTTGTGTACAGAAATTGATCACTTGGACTAGTGAGATGGCATTGGTACATGCCACCTTGATGGGATTGAATTGGAATCCCCTGGCACATTTCTAATTCTACCACTTGGGGCAAGTCTGATTGAGCATGTCCCAAACTGTACATATCTTCCCTCTCTTATTCCCACTCTTATATTTAACAGGGATCACTTTTCAGTTAAATTTCAACACTTAAGAATAATTGTGTATTAATTGCAGAGTTCAACCAAAACAATGTTCCCTGATATTGCCTGCATTGGAAGTAGATCACTCCTGCTTCCATGTCTTTGCTAAGCCACTGCTCCACACCAAGTTTCTTAACAATAAAGTGCCACAAATTAGTTTCAGGATTGTAGCCTACAACCACCACTGTTTTAGTGCATGTTGGTGTTAGCAGTGACTCTCTGTAGGTGAATTGTTGGTTCTTGTGATGGCTTTCAGTCGCTAACAGCCCTGGGTTTTGGTATTACATTCATCTTGAGAAAGTGGAAAACCAAAAGATGTTTTGTTATCTGTCAGGGAAGAGTGCCATTGCTAACTTCCACATGCTACAAATGTCCCCATCATTCTCTTTGTACATACACACAGAGTCCAAAAATCACCAAGACCTTTGCCTATTTGTTAGTGAAATGAAATTTATAAAAGGAATTTTTCATTGTTGCTCAGTCCTACTCCAGTCCTCAGACTGTCTGGTCGACTATCAACCTGTTGGTCTGTCACGAACCCCTGTGAGACACCTGGTCTCTCCGTTCTAAACCACCTGTGGTATCACTTCCGTCCCACTCCACCCTCAGAGGCAAAGATACACACAGATGTCTCCCGCTAAAGTTGGTTTATTTTATTGTGTCCACAATCTACTCTGCATGTTAGAGCTCATGGCTGTATGCAGACAAACTCCCCACAGACATTCATGGACTAAGTCATTGGCTGCTGCCATTATCAGGGAGTTTCTTTTGATCTGTGGGAGCTCATCGTAGATTATTTGCTTACTTGTTGGCAACTTCAGATTTCTTCTTATTCCTATAGTAAAATACTAATATTGTTGGTTTTTTGGTTTTGTTGACAGCTTGAGGATTTTGTTGGACAGTTAACTTCACCTTCGAGAGTATCTTCTGAATCTGGCATGGGAACAGGGAAAGAACGGAAGATCATTAGTTTAGGGGAAGATAATAGAAACAGGATGGCGATTCCAAGATGGAGGAATAGGGAGGGAGTTTACTGCTCTAATCTAGGGGAACATAGTTAGAAATAAAAGAGGAGAGAGTGCAGTTTCAGGGAAGAATTGGGGAGAAAACTGGAGAGGAAACTACTCACAATTTTTTTTTTTTTTTTTGTGAGGGATACTATGGATCCATGTGGAGGGTGTGGATGCCCACAACTCAGACTCCAGCAGCTGAGAGACTCAGCACCAGCTTTGGAGAGGGAGGTCAGACCAGACAGCAGCAGCCCAAGCCACTGGGAATAAAGCTGCAGGAAGAGCCTGGCAAGTGTTTTATACAGAGCCCAGTGGGAGATAGTGTACCTGCCAACCTAGACAGGAAAAGAAGGGAGGGGGCCTGCTTCTCTCTCCCCGCCACCCAGCCCTGGCATCTTTGTAATAGATGAGAGAAGGCAGAGGCACACTGAACGCACATGAAAACTGTGGCAGTTTGTGTCCACATGCCCAGCTACCAACTGAGAGGAGACGCCCAAGTCTTGTTGGGAGAGTTGACGACGGGGATGGGCAGTTGTCACTGTGGGAGCCTTGTGTGCTGGGATGGACTACGAAAACACTGGTGGTGTGTGGGAGGGCACAGCGTGTGGCTGGGTCTCTGAGCAGTCACTGACTGCCTGGTGAGAGTCATTGTTGTGGGACCCATGCTCACACTGAGGACTGCACACATCCTTTGTGTGGTTCTTTTGGCAGCATGGATGAATATTGCACCCACTGAGGCTGGCGTCAAGGCATTGGACTCCATGGAGGAGAGGCGGTGAGTATGAGATTATACCAACAGAGCTTATCACACCCTCCCCTCTGATTAAAAAAAAAGAGATTTACCACGCCCAAATTGAGTGTTACCCTGGACACTCCCCTCAGCATGGAGCACTGAACAGAGCTCCCAGGTCACACCCAGTGCACACCTCTGGGTAGTCACTGAAAGAGCAGACACTCCACTCAGCCACATAGGCATAGTCCAAAGATAAAAGACATCACAGGAAAAAAAAGCAAGTATCTCCACAAATGCCTAAAAATAAATGCAGAAATTCAAAAAATAAGAATAAAGAAGACAGCATGATGCCCCCAAAGGAACACAAGGAACACAACACTTCAATACTAGGATGTGAGATTAAGAGATTGATGAAATGCCAGGAACAGAATCCAAAAAATTAATCATAGGATTACTTAGAAGTAATCAGAAGCAGTTCCATGAATTAAATAAAACCATACGTGACATGAATGAAAATTTTCCCATGAAATTGAGATGTTAAAGAGAAATCAAAATGAAATATTAGAAATGAAAAATTCAATAATCAAATAAAAAGAATGGGTTATCAAAGAAGGAGGTACCTTTCTCTGAAGGGAGGAGAGAACTTCCACTTTGACCATGGCCTTGTCTAAATATGATCAGAGTCAGTGAACTCAGGGGGCTTCCATAGCCTTGGCAGCTCATGACAAGAGCCTAGGGTGATTACTGAGGCCATAAACAAGAGTGTCCATTTGTTAAGTCAACAACAGGAGTCACTGTGCACTTACTCCTCATGTAGGATCTTTGTCCTTAGTGTGCTGTACATTGAGATTTAATGCTATAACTAGTACTCAAACAGTATTTTTCACTTTATGTTTCTGTGTGGGAACAAACTATTGAAATCTTTACTTAATGTATGCTAAACAGATCTTCTGTATATAAAGAGAATCGAAAATGAATCTTGATGTGAATGGAAGGGGAGAGGGAGTGTGAAAGGGGAGGGTTGCGGGTGGGAGGGACGTTATGGGGGGACGCCATTGTAATCCATAAGCTGTACTTTGGAAATTTATATTCATATTCTGTCTTTGCTACTTGCAAATAAAGATGTCAAAAATATCAAAAAAATAAAAATAAAAAGAACCAGTGGAAAGCGTTCACAAGAGACTTGGTGAGGCAGAAGAAAGAATATCTGAGTTAAAAGGCAAATCTGTGGAAATTTTAGAGTCAGATTGAAAAAAAGAAGAATAAATTAGAAAGCTAATAAAAAGTGTTGGAGATTTATGGGATACTATCAAACTACCTGACAAACAGGTCTTAGGAGTTCCTGAAGGTATGAAAAGAGAGACTGAATTAGAAGGCCTTTTTAGTAAAATAATTACAGAAGAATTCCCTAACTTAGAGAAAGGGATGTACAAGTACAGGAAGCACATAGAACTAATAGACATGACCAGAAAATATCTTCACCACAACACATTTTATTCAAAATCTCTGGAGTAAAATATAAATGATTAAGATGTGCACAAGAAAAATGCCAGATTACTTTCAGAGGCTCTCCAATTAAACTCACAGCTGAGTTCTCAACAGAAACCTTACAGGGTAGAAGGGAAGGATGAGACATAGTCCAAAAGTTTAAAGAAAAAAAAATCAAGCCAGAGTATTGTTTCCTGCAAAGTTCTCATTTATGAATGAAGGTGAAATAGAATATCCATAACAAACAGAAATTTAAAGAATTTGTCACCACTCGTCCAACCTTATAAAAGATGTTTAAGGATGTGTTACACACAGAAGCAAGGTGTCACTATTAAAGAAGGTGAAAGCAGAAAATTTCCCAGAAGTCCAAAAGAAATCCAAAGGAAACAATAGGAATATTTATAGAAAAAATGGCACAGCCAAGTCATTACTTATCAATAGTTACCTTGAATGTAAATGGCCTCAAATCTGTAGTTAAAATATACAGATTGGTTGGTTGGATTTAAAAGAAAAAAAAAATCTGTTCGCTGCCTACAAGAAACACATTACACCAACAAAGATACACTCAGACTGAAAGTGAAAGATGGAAAAAGATGTTCTATGTTAATGGTAAGCAAAAAAGGGCAGGTGTTCCCATTCTAATAGCAAACAAAATAGAATTTAACACAGAAACAGTTAAAATAGAATAAAAAGGGGAGGCACTACTTAATGATTAAGGGTCAATTCAACAGGAAGATGTGATTATACTAAATATATACACACCCAAATACAGAGTGCTTGTCTATGTAAAAGAAAAGTTAACGGATCTAAAGGGAGACATACACTCCAATATAATAGTAAAAGGGGACTTCAACACCCTACTTTCATCAATGGACAGATCAACTAGACAGAAAATCAACAAAGAAACAACAGAGCAAATTGACTATAGACCAAATGGACCTAAATGATATCTACAGAACTTGTCATCCTACAGTTGCATAAAACTCATTCTTCTCATTAGTGCATGGAATTTTCTCCAGGATAGACCACATGCTAGGCCATGAAGCAAGTCTCAGCAAATTCAGAAAAATTGAAACCATACCATGCATCTTCTCTGACCACAATGGAATGAAACTAGAAGTCACCAACTCAAGAATGTCTAGATCATTTGCAAACACACGGAGACTGAACAACATGTTCCTGAATGAACAGTGGATCATAGAAAAAATAAAGAGCAATCAAACAATTTCTGGAAACAAATGAAGATGACAAGAGAACCAATGTAGCTAAAGTGATTTTCAGCAACAGAAAAAAGCCAAAGACATCACAAAATGTGATTTCAAGATATACTACAGAGCAGTTAGAATCAAGCAGCCTGGTACTGGCACAAAAACAGACATGTAGACCAATGGAACAGAACAGAAAATCCGGAAATCAATTCAGGCATCTACAACTATTGCATCTTTGACAAAGGAGCTAAAATCAATCCCTGGAGCAACAACTGTCTATAAGAAATGGTGCTGAGGAAACTGTATCTCCATCTGCAGAAGTTTTCAACTATACCCATACCTATCTAACACCTTACACAAAAATCCACTCAAAATGCATCAAAGACCTAAACCTATGACCTGATATCACAATTTACATTGGGGAAACACTGAACAAAATTGGCATAGCAATGTTTTCTTGAAAAAAAAAAAAAAACAGACCCACAGGCAATCAAAGCCAAAATAGACAAATTGGATTACATCAAATTGAGAAGCTTCTGCACTGCAAAAGACACATTCAGCAAAGCAAAGAGGCAACCAACAGAAAGGGAGAAATTATTCGCAAGCCATGCAATTGCTAAAGGATTAATGTCCAGAATATGTAAAGAGCTCAATAAACTCAACACGAACGAAACAAGCAATCCATTTATGAAATGGGCAAAGGACTTGAACAGCCATTTTTCCAAAAGAGGAAACCTAAATGGCCAACAGACACATGAAAAAAAGGTTCAGGATCACTAGCTCTCAGGGAAATGCAAATCAAAACCACATTGAGGTTTCATCCCACTCAAGTTGGAATGGTTCGCATACAGAAAACAACAAAGAACAAACCCCAGGGAGGATGTGGGGAATAAGGTACCCTGGTCCACTGTTGGTGGGAATGTAGTGGTGGGAATGCAGTGGTGGAGTGTTGTTGGGAATGTAGTTGGTGGGAATGTAGTGGTGGGAATGTAGTGTTGCAGCTACTATGGAAAACAGTATGGAGGCACCTCAGAAATGTGAGTGTAGGCCTGTCCTATGATCCAGCCATCCCACCTGTGGGAATTTACCCAAAGCAAAAGAAATTGGCATATGAAAAGTTATCTGTACCCTCATGCTGACTGTAGAACAATGCACAATAGTGAAAATACGGAATCAACCCAGATGTCCATCAACTGCTGATTGGATAAAGAAATTATGGTATATATACACCATGGAGTACTTTTCAGCTGCTAAAAAATGAAATCTTGTCTTTTGCAACAAAATGGATGGAACTGGAAATGATTGTACTTAGTAAAATAAGCCAGATCCAAAAGACAGATAGCATATATTTTCCCTGATCTGAGGTAACTAATGGAATAGCTGAAATGTAATGTATTGGAGTGAAAAAGAATTTTGAGATTTGATGTCTTTTTATAGTCCTTGTCTTTCCATTAAGGAACAGTGCTTTTTTTTTCTTCATACTATTTTTGAAATCTTTTAATTAGTTTAGGGTTAACTGTATTGTCATTAAGTAAACTGAAAATAGAGCTATGTAAAAATTAAGAGTGGGATTGTGAGAGGGAAGAGGAAGAAGGGTTGGAGTGTGGTCTGCTGGGAGAGTAGGAGGAAAATGTCACTATGTTCCTAAATCTGTATATATGAAATACACAAAAGGTATATAACAAATAACATTTGAATAAAATCCAAGCCAATCAAATCCAACAACACATAAACAAGATAATTCACCCAGGCCAAGTAGGATTTATGTCTGGTATGCAAGGATGGTTCACATTTGCAAATCAATAAATGACACGACATTAACAAACTAAAGAAAAAAATACCATATGATTATGGTAATAGAAGCAGAGAAAGCTTTTTGATTAAATTTGATTAAATATAGCATCTTTTTATGGATGTAAACATTAAGGAATTTACTTATAGAAGAAACATTCCTCAACAAAATCAAGGTAATTTATGACAAACTCACAGCCAGTATCCTACTGAATGTGGAAAATCTAGAAATATTCCCATTAACATCATAACCAGACAGGCATCCCACTCTCACCTATGCTCTTCAAAATATTCCTGGAAGATTTATCCAGATCCATTCAGAAAAAAAAAAAAAACAACAAGATTAAAGGGATAGAAATTGGGAAGGAGAAAGTCAAACTATCCCTATTTGTGGATGACATGATCCTGTATTTAGGGGATCCAAAAGACTCCACTAAGTGGTTATTGGAACTCATACCATGGTGGGTTAAATGGAAGAATACAAAATGAACACTCAAAAATCAATAGCTTTTGTATACACAGAAAATGCCATGGCTAAGACAGAACTTTTAAGATCAATCCCATCTACAAATTGGGAAGGTGGTACTCAAAATATACCTATTTGCAGATGACACAATTCTATATATATGGGATCCAAAAGACTCCACTAAGTGACTATTGGAACTCACAGAATATTTTGATAATGTAGCAGGATGTAAATTCAAGACACAAGAATCAACAGTATTTGTATACACAAACAAAGCCAGGGCTGAGATTGAACTCCTAAGATCAATTGCATTCACAATAGCTACAAAAAAAAAATCAAATACCTTGGAATAAATTCAACCAAGGAAGTAAAATATCTCTACAATGAGATTTATAGAACATTTTTTAAAGAAATTGAAAAAGACACAAAAAAATGGAAAATCTTCAATGTTCATGGATTGGAAGAATCAATGTCATCAAATGTCCATATTACTGAAAGCAATGTGATACCGATCAAAATACAAAGGACATTCTTATCAGATACACAAAAAAACAATGCTGAAATTTATATGGAAACACAGAAGACCCCAACTATCTAAGGCAATCTTAAACAATGAAAACAAAGCCAGAGGTATCACAACACCAAATTTCAAGACACATTACATGGCAGCTATAATCAAAACAGCCTGGTACTGGCACAAAAACAGATGGATAGACCAATGAAACAAAACAGAAATGCCAGAAATCAACCCACACATCTACAAACAAGTTATCTTTGAAAAGGGAGCTAAAATCAATCCCTGGAACAAGGACAAACTCTTCAACAAATGGTGTGTGAAAACTGGATCTGCACATGCAAAAGTATGAAATAAAACCCTAACCTTACATTGTACACAAAAATCCACTCAAAATGGGTCAAATAACTAAATCTACAACCCAAATTATTAGAGAGAAATGGGGAAACCCTGTGAGGCATAGTCAAAGACTTATTGGAAAAGACCCCAGAGGTACATGCCATGAAAGTCAAAATTGACAAATGGGATTACATCAAATTGAGAATCTTCTACACTGCAAAAGAAACTCTCAGGAAAGTGAAGAATAAACTGACAGAATGGGAGAAATTATTTGCAATCTAGGCAATAACTGATAAAGGATTTATATCATAAATATATAAAGAGCTCAGGAAATTCAACAACGAACAACAACCCAGTTGAAAAATGGGCAGAGGAACTCAACAGAAATTTTTCAAAAGAGGAAACCCAAAGGACCAACAGACACATGAAAAAATGCTCAGGATCACCACCCATCAGAGAAATGCAAATCAAACCCACAATGAGGTTTCAGCTCACCTCCATTAGAATGGCTTTCGTATAGAAATCAACAAACAACAAATGCTTGTGAGGATGTGGGGAAAAGGTTCCCTAATCCATTGTTGGTGGGAAAGTAAACTCATATAGCCACTGTGGAAGACAGTATGGATATATCTCATAAATCTGAAGATAGACCTACCATGTGACCTAAGCATCCCACTCCTGGGTATTTATTCATGGGAAAAACAAATCAGCTTAAGAAAGAATTATCTATACCTCCATGTTTATTACAGCTCAGTTCACAATAGCTAAGATATGGAATCAACAAAATGCTTGTAAATTGAACACTCAATTGGGAAAATATGGGATATGTACAACATGGTATGGTACACAGCCCTAAGATAAATGAACTCCCTTCTTCTGCAATGTTACAGATGCAGCTAGAAAACATACTAAGTAAACTAAGGGAGTCCCAATAGGGCAAGTACCATTTGTTCTCCCTCACTGGTGGTAACTAAAGGAGCACCTAAAAGGTAATCTATAGAAGTGAAATTAACACTTTGAAATGCAAAGACTTTGAACAGTTCTTGCCTCACTCACTGAGGAACTGTTTTTTCTCATACTGTTTGTTGAACACTTTACTTAGTATATAAAGTTAATATTATCTGTATAAAGTTAATTGAAAATTGATCTCAGTAAATAGTAAGAAAGGGAATAGGAGAGGGAGGAGGAAGAAGTGTTGGAGTGAGGGTGGGAGGGCTAGTAGGGTGGGAAGAATAACTATTGACCTAAAGTTGTATTTATGAAGCACATGAAATTTGTACACTATAAATAAAAGGTTTCTGGGTGAGAAAAGAAACAAGGGGTACAATTGAGGAAGAGATTTGTGCCAGAAAAGGTCAGGGTAGGTGTGGTAGGATGGGGATCTATGGGGAAACAGAGGAGGAACTTGGGTAGTATCATTTTACCTTTTCCTTTTCTTTATCATCCAATTGGTCGGGCATGCTCTGCTCCTCCCCATCTTCAGCACTTGAGGTTGGCTCTTCAGTGTTCACAACGGAATGGGGATTATCTGATTGAGAAAACTGAGGATCACAGGTTACATTAGGCCTCTCAGAGACACGCAGTGCTCCCTCCCAGGGACCATATTTACACACCTTAGGACAATGAGGAGTCACCTGCTTTACCTTTTTGGGTAATGCAGGCACTGATGCAGTCAATGGGATGCCTGGGCTGGCTCTGACATCATAAAGCCTAGCAACTGACATGTCATTGGGCGGGGTGGTGGGGAGAGCCAAGAGAGGGCAGCTTCATGTGGCCACTTCTTTAACACCCCCTAAACATGCACCCCAGGCTGATCTACACCTCCCCTCATCTTCCTATAGTCAGTTCTCCTGGTTCCCATGGCAGGGTAAGGGGATTCCCTAATGTTCCTCACTATGGCCACACCTATCAGTGGTTCTTTGTATGTCTCCCAGACCTCACCAGTACCAGTTTTTGGATGTGTCACATAAACTTCCTCCAAAGTAAAGTGGCTACTCTGTGAATCATCTCATTTTCCTCCTGCAGTTACCTCTTAGACACCCTGAAGACCTTTCACTTCTTGGCTATTGCTAGGCAACTTTGCCCTCCAACTTCTTTTTGCCAACGTCCACTTAGAACTCTTGAGTTTTCTATTACCAGTTAGAAGTGAGGGTCTTTAATCTGTCAACCTTCAGTGAATAAACTTTCTCTCCCTGGTGTCTGACCCTAGTTTCAAATCAGAGCCTTGTACACATGTCAGTAAATAGAGTACCCTGAAATGGATATTGCCAGCATAATGGCAGCAGGTACTCATATGCTACATGCTGTTCTGGGTATTTACACACAAGACTGTACATCCTAAGACCAATGTACAGAGGGCTTGGGGAGCCGGGCAGATGGAGATCACCTTTGTACCTATCAGAGAAGCTGCCTAGTGTGAGAAGAGAATAAAATGCATGAAGATTGGAAAGGGACAAGTGGAAGTTGTTCTTTTCAAAGACTACGAGAGAGTCTAGGGAGAACATTTGATCTGAGAACAACTTCTACAATAAATACTGAGTTAACCTGGATTGAAAGACTCATAATCTACACACAAAGTATTCATTTATACATTAGCAGGGTTTAATTGCAAAGTGAATGCAAAAACAATGACATTGGGACATTTGGAATATCATAAAATATAAACTACTTACAAAGAAAGGTAATCAAAGATAGGAGTCTTACATTACAAAATGTACAATATATTGCAGAGGTATAATGGCATAAAGGAACAAATGGAGAGCTGTACTTTGCTTATGAGTTGGAAGATACAATATTGTATGATGTCATTTCTTCCCCTATTCACCTGTAGATTCAACCCAATCTCAATCAAAATCCAGAAAGTTTTTTAATAGAGGGACTAGCATTGTGGCATAGCAGGTAAAGCTATTGCCTGCAATATCGATATTCCATATGGATGGCAGTCAGTTTGTGTCCCAGCTGCTCTACTTCTGATCCAAATCCCTGCTATTGGCCTGGAAAAAGTGGTGGAAGATGGCACATGTGTTTGGATCCCTGACACACTTTTGGAGACCTGGAAGAAGATCCTGGCTCCTGGTTTTGGCCTGCCCTAGTGCTGGCCATTGCAGCCATCTAGAGAGTGAACCAGCAGATGGAAAATGTCTCTCACTCTCTCTCTCTCTCTCTCTCTCTCTCTAGAACTCCAACTTTCAAATAAATAGATAAATATTTTTAAAAACTTTTTAAAACTAATTTCCTGGATGACTATAATATTCCCATCAGAATGCAAAGGAAGTGGAAAAGAAGTAATAACTTATTAATAGTGGTGATCTGATTACCCTCAGGATTGTATCAGTGTCCATGTTCTAGTTTTGACAGTGTGCAGTGACAGTGTCCTGGAGATTTTCCTACTGAAGAGGCTGAATGCAGGAATATTTTCTTGAGCATCCTTTGAAATTTCCAGTAACTCTATAACTACTTCATAATAAAAGTCTAAAAACTTAAAAGAATAAGAGTGGATGAAAGCTAGAGTGGGCAATCATGCTGATTTCTTCAACAAGTCAACACTGGTCGCATTCTCTTTAGGAATTCACAGTATAGGACTATGGCCTCGATTCTTGTTTCAGGGTTTGCCCAGCCCATGTGGGATATGGACACCATGATATAGCACACAGCCGTAAAATAAATGAAATCCTATAATTTGCAGTGTTATGGGTGAAAATGGAAAACATACTAAGTAAAATCAGTCAGTGACAACTACTATTTGTTCTCCCTCACCTGTGGTCAATAGTAGAGCACCTTAAAGGTAATCTGTAGAAGTGAAATTGATACTTTGAGATACAATGGCTTTGAACAGTCCTTGTGTCGAATGTTGAGGATCTGTTTTTTATTTCCCATACTATTTGTTGAATCCTTTACTTAGTATACAGTTAATCTTATGTGTATAAAGTTAATTGAAAATAGATATTAGTACAAAATAAGAATGGGGATAGGAGAAGGAGGAGGAAGTGTGGGCGTGTGGGTGGGAGGCGGTAGGTTGGGAAGAATCATTATTTATGCTATGTATGAAGTGCCAAAGTTTGTATTCCTTAAATAAAAGGTTTCTGGGTGAGAAAAGAAACAAAAAGGAAATGAAACAATTAAGGAAGAGATTTGTGCCAGGAAAGGACAGGGTAGAAGTAGTGGGATGGGGATCTATGGGGAAACAGAGGAGGAACTTGGTAGTATCGTTTTACCTTTTCATTTTCTTTATCGGTTGATTGGCCCGGCATGCTCTCCTCCCCCTCTTCCGGGCTTGAGGTTGGCTCTTCAGTGCTCATGATGGAACAGGGCTTATCTGTTTTAGAAAACTGAGCAACACAGGTTACCTCAGGCCTCTCAGAGACATGCAGTACTCCATCCAGGGCCACAGCCCTACTCATATATATACACCCGAGGACAATGAGGAGTTACCTGCTTTACCTTTTTTGGTAATGTAGGCACTGATGGCAGCCAATGGGATGCCTGGGCTGGCTCTGACATCATAAAGCCTAGCAACTGACATGTCATTGGGCGGGGTGGTGGGGAGAGCCAAGAGAGGGCAGCTTCATGTGGCCACTTCTTTAACACCCCCTAAACATGCACCCCAGGCTGATCTACACCTCCCCTCATCTTCCTATAGTCAGTTCTCCTGGTTCCCATGGCAGGGTAAGGGGATTCCCTAATGTTCCTCACTATGGCCACACCTATCAGTGGCTCTTTGTATGTCTCCCAGACCTCACCAGTACCAGTTTTTGGATGTGTCACATAAACTTCCTCCAAAGTAAAGTGGCTACTCTGTGAATCATCTCATTTTCCACCTGCAGTTACCTCTTAGACACCCTGAAGACCTTTCACTTCTTGGCTATTGCTAGGCAACTTCGCCCTCCAACTTCTTTTTGCCAACGTCCACTTAGAACTCTTGAGTTTTCTATTACCAGTTAGAAGTGAGGGTCTTTAATCTGTCAACCTTCAGTGAATAAACTTTCTCTCCCTGGTGTCTGACCCTAGTTTCAAATCAGAGCCTTGTACACATGTCAGTAAATAGAGTACCCTGAAATGGATATTGCCAGCATAATGGCAGCAGGTACTCATATGCTACATGCTGTTCTGGGTATTTACACACAAGACTGTACATCCTAAGACCAATGTACAGAGGGCTTGGGGAGCCGGGCAGATGGAGATCACCTTTGTACCTATCAGAGAAGCTGCCTAGTGTGAGAAGAGAATAAAATGCATGAAGATTGGAAAGGGACAAGTGGAAGTTGCTCTCTTCCAAGACTACGAGAGAGTCTAGGGAGAACATTTGATCTGAGAACAACTTCTACAATAAATACTGAGTTAACCTGGATTGAAAGACTCATAATCTATACACAAAGTATTTGTTTATACATTAGCAGGTGTTAATTGTGAATTGAATTTAAAAACAGTGACATTTAGAATGTTAAAAATATATAATATACTTAGAAATGTGACCAAAGACAAAGAAGTCTTATATAATAAAATTTACAAAATATTGTAGAGGTATATTAATGTCTCAAATAAATAAATGGATAGCTGTATTTTGCTTATGAGTTGGAAGATACAATATTGTATGATGTCATTTCTTCCCCTATTCACCTGTAGATTCAACACTATCTCAGTCAAAATCCGGAAAGTTTTTTATTAGTGGAACTGGTATTGTGAATAGTATTCAAGCCTTTGCCTGCAATATCGGTATTCCATATGGATGGCAGTCAGTTTGTGTCCCAGCTGCTCTACTTCTGATCCTGTTCCCTGGTAATGGCCTTGGAAAAGTGGCAGAAGATGGCACAAGTGTTTGAGTCCCTGACACCCTTGTGGGAAGACCTGTAAAAGTTCCTGGATCCTGGTTTTGGCCTGTCCCAGTGCTGGCCACTGCAGCCATCTGAAGAATGAACCAGCAGTTGGAAGGTCTCACTCTTTATCTCTCTCTCTGGAAGTCTGATTTTCAAATAAATAACTAAATAGTTATTTAAAAAGTGTTAAAAAGAAATTTGGGGGATGCATATAATATTCCCATCAGAATGCAAAGTAAGTGGAATAGAAATATCTTGTTAATAGTGGTGATACCTGAACACCCTCAGGATTATATCAGTGTCCATGTTCTAGTTTTGACAGTGTGTGGTGACAGTGTCCTGGAGATTTTCATACCTGGTAGGCTGGATGAAGGAATATGTTCGTGAGCATCCTTTGATATTTCCTGTGACTCTAAAATTATTTTAGATAAAAGTCTAAAAATTTTAAAGAATTGAGTGGACTAAGGATAGAGGTGGCAATCATCTTGATTTTTACAACAGGTCAACACTGGCCTCAATCTCTTTAGGAATTCACATAACTTGATAATGAAAGAAAATAGAAAATATAGGGCTAGGGCCTCAATTATTGTTCCAGGGTTTGTCCAGTCCACATATCTGCACATTAGACCTCAGAAATTAAGGAAGGACTACTAAGGCGTCCCACACTACTCCTCAGATAAGAAATGTATAACATCCCCATGAGTACCATCAAAGCACTATCAAAGAAAGATGATGATGTTTACAAAGATATGTCTTTTTCTTAGTGAATCCTAGATGCTGTCTAGTGGTTCCCACTTCTGTTATTCAGTGCTCACAGGCCAACTTATAAGTGATTTTTTTAGTATGTGTGTAACTCTTGTTTGTATCCTGAAATGCCATGTGATAGAAAACTCAATAAAGATCCAACATGGGAAGTGGGATACACAGCAGACTCATAGAATGGCAGATGAACTAAATAGCACTCTGACCTCAGAATCAGCACTTAAGGCATTCGGATCTGCCTGAAGAGCTCATGAGAGTATTTTAGGCATGGAAAGCCAAGACACTGTGGCAAAATAAAAAAAAGAAGACCTAAATGAAAGATCTCTGTGAGTGAGATCCCAGTGGAAAGAACGGGGCCATCAAAGAGGGAGGTACCTTTCTCTGAAGGGAGGAGAGAACTTCCACTTTGAATATGACCCTGTCTGAATAAGATCGAAGTCGGCGAACTCAAAAGGCTTCCATAGCCTTGGCAACTCATGACTAGAGCCTAGGGAGATTACTGATGCCATAAACAAGAGTGTCAAATTGTTAAGTCAACAACAGGAGTCACTGTGTACTTACTCCTCATGTGGGATCTGTCCTTAATGTGTTGTCCAATGTGAAGTAATGTTATAACTAGTACTGAAACAGTATTTTACACTTTGTGTTTCTGTGTGGGTGCAAACTGATGAAATCTTTACTTAATATATACTAAATCGATCTTCTGTATATAAAGATAATTGAAAATGATAATTGAAAGATAATGGATGTGAATGGAATGGGAGAGGGAGTGGGAGATGGGAGGGGTGCGGGTGTGAGGGAAGTTATGGTGGGGAAGCCATTGTAATCCATAAACTGTACTTTGGAAATTCATATTTACTAAATAAAAGTTAAAAAAAGAAAACTCAATAAAGAAACCACAAAGAAAACTTCACAGGCAAACTCTATCGAGTAGTGCAGATCAAACCCTGATTAGAATATTTGACAATAAGGGCCTTCCATTATATTTGATAGTCATATCCCACTTGCTCTACTGGACCCGGGTATCCCTGAGAACAAACCCCTTGGCTTACTTCGGATGGTTGGGCTGAAACAGTGAACAGAAGTCAGCCCTAGAACAGAGACCATCAAGTCAGGCATCAGCTTTCCAATGAGCACATGTTCTGCATTCATCACTGTGTACCATGTGGGCCACAGACACACCTAGACCAATGCTTGTGCTGCACTTTTGGAACAAAGTTGTACTGATGCATGCCTTCCCAAATGTACATTCCACATGTGGCATATTGGGGGAATAAGCCCCCGAATAATAGAAAAGAACCCAAACCCCTTAAATCACATAATTGAAAAGTCAGTTCTACAGTGCTCAACATTTTCACATTTTATCCTCTAAGCAGCCTAAGGCTAAGAAGTATAATTCTTCATTGCCATGCCTAATATGAAATATGCTTTAATGCTACATGATACATGGAAATTTTACTTTGCAATGAGAAGGACTTTCAGGTGCACCTATCAAAGACAGAGGGAAATGCATTGTGATTTATTTTGTTTTCTTTTCATTTTTTTTGTAGTTTTATCTTTTTTCCCCAAGGACTGACAACTTGAAAAAATATTCTTTTATCCACAGAGGATATTTGAGAATCTTTCCTGGAAGTCAATGATAGATATTTAAATAGTTTGAGGGAGAACAGGAAATGTGGCTATTAGAAGTATAGATATTTTTATTTAGTATAATTTATTCTTCTTGTTTTAATTGGTTCATGTTATCAGTGAACTGATAGAATATAACAGAGAACTGTAATTTGCCACCGTGTTTATTTGTTACCCTCCACACCTATACAGAGGACAGGTACTTGCTGTTTTACTCATATTTTAGACTCAGTTTTTTTTCAGCATCTTCTGGACTTTAAGCAGAAAGACCCTTGTGAGGGTCATCTCAAAGACAGCAACTGGAACTGTGTCCCCAGGTCACTGCAGGGTGACTCCCCTAGGAGTCTCCTCCCTCTCACTGACATGGATCCATCAAAGTGTTTTCTTTTTCACTATAGGTATGTCTTTGATATGTGAAGCATCAATTTATCAATATCTAAAGCCTTATTTAAATGACACAGGTCAGGATATTGTAAAACCCAGTGGTGTTGTGATCGAGGCAATAGAGCGATCCCTGCACATCACACACAACCACCTCAAGACCAGGCAACACTCATTCAGGTCAGAAAGAGCTCTTCTTTCTTGCCGGCATTTACTGCCTGTCTACCAACTAGAGGTGCTGTGAACGTGTGCTCTTTACAGATGGCAACACACTCACAAGGCACACCCAAATTGGCTACAGACACTTGTGGTCACCACCTCATTGACACAAATATTAAAATGCATTGAAAACATTTGTTTCAGAATTACCTTTCCAATCATTAATATAAACAACTTCTTCCTGCTGGTTTTTGTATAGTGCGTTCCACTGTATGGAATGTTTTCCCTTTACAGAGCTTCTATTTGTGACACAGGAGATGGGGTGGATCCATTCATGTTTGCATTCATCAGAGCCAATCACTACCTTGTGCAGTTGGATGAACATATGCAGATCTCCCTACTAACAGAGCTGATTTGTTCCCTCCATGGGGACACAAGCATCCTTCACATGTGACTCCTCACGCTCTTTCTGATGTCCTTCAGTCAACTGAAGTATCCCCAGTGAGTCCTGAACACACCTGAAGCATCTTGTGCTAGCCGTGATATAATCCCCTCCTTAGAGAATGGTTATGGGGGCAACAGAA